TGCTGCTGCTTCGGGAGCAGGGCATGACCTGCTTCAGTCCTCCACTGCTGCAGTGTCCATGGGAGGGAGTGGGCAGTGGTTACAGCTTATTGCTGAGATTTGGTGATGTGGCTTCTCCTGCCTTCCAGGGCAATACCAGGCACTCAGCTCAGACCATCCCCAAACCGGGACATGGAGCTGCCATTCACCTATTTTTAACCCCTTGGCCATAATCATTACTGTTTATTTTTTTCCCATAGCAGTTTTTATTGGTTTATGCTTTCACTGGGTTTTATAGGCCAGCTTTGTAATACAGCTTACAAGAAGTAGAAAGCACTCTGTAAATGAATGGATCAGCCTTTCTGGAATTGTTCCCATGGATATAATATATGTAATTACTTCAGAATCCCTTTCTACCCTAAGCTCCCTGTGTCTTGCACGTTGATAAATGCAGGATAACTGCTGGGTGCAGGCACTAGGGGGCAACATTATCTCATAAACAGCATAGTATTGGGTTATTAAGAACATATTTCCATCCTGCAAGGCAAAGCACATCTTCAGATGTTTTAGATAACATTTAAAGTTGTTTGAGATAACAGCAGTAGTAATTTGTGATAATGCAGACTGCATAATTTTTATATTCACACAGGGCAAAGAGGGACCTGTTTTCCAAAATTGTAGATTTATTTCCTCCTAAGCAAAATCATATTTTATGTCAGCTACAGCAATATTGCATTCTAAAAATATCTGCTATGTAAGAGGCAGGATGCACATACAGCTAATTATGGTTATTGCCATAGATATGAGACCAGAAACAATTACTCACAGTATTTAGTGATTACAGATTTTTCCTTAAGAGGATGGAACATGTTTGTTTAATGCAACATTTCATTCACTACTGTTATTTGAAAAGATGTGGCTCATTGAATGAGAAAGTGGGAACAAATGAAAGAAAAAGAAATGCTCTCCACTCACAGTTTTTATAATTTTTCAGTTATTTTGTTCATGTTGAGAGTCTTTGCTAAATTTGCTAAGCTTTAATTTTGCCAAAAAAAAAATGCTTTGGCAGGTTTTGGTTGAACATACAAAATGAAAATGTCGCTGTGCGTAAATGCATTTTGTACTGTCTCCCATTCACAGCTGCAATCATACACATTCACTTCTGAGAAACTGGGTGACAACATGTTCTAATCTGAATATGAACTGAACTCTGAATTGCTTTGTCACTGCAGCAAAAACAAAACCAAGAAACACAACTTGCAATTTACTGTTAACTGCATAACAAGATGCTGTGTATATTCTGTTACAGATCCAAACCTGGATATGAATGATGTCATCTGCGTTGAATTATTGAAAACCTCTGCTGGTTTGGGATTCAGTCTTGATGGTGGAAAAGCTTCCATTGCTGGAGACAGGCCCTTGCTTGTAAAAAGAATATTTAAAGGTACTACAAGCATGCAGTGGATATTATCCCAGTTTTCCTTTTGTGCATTTTACAGACATTTTAATTCTTGGACTCGATTTTTTTTTTTTTAAGCAAGGGTGGTTTTTGTGGTCCTTGTTTATTACCACTTAGTAGCCAAAGTGGTCAGTAAAAAAAACAGTCCCGGGAGTAGCTAGGGATTGCGTCTGCTAGTAAATGTTTGTGGAGCAATCTGATTTACTAAATATGATGCAGTTCCTTCCTGGGCTTGTCCACTATTCTAGACATTAAATTACAGCAGCAGTATTGTATGTAATGGTTTGAGAAGTTCATGCCTTATCCAGTTCTCTTAAGAAAAGGACAGTAGAGAGAATCAGTGTGGTTCCAAAGCACCATCCTGCATTATACCCAGTTATTAATTTTACCTCTTTTTTCATCTTTGCTTTTTTTTGGTTAGATATCAGTATTAGCTTTTGCTAAGAATATGTGATGTTTGTATTCAAAAACTGCCACTTTTGGATGCTTTGTTTGTCAGCAGGTAGTTAAACTTAAACAAACCGTGTATAGAAAGGAAACCAATCCCAGAACTATGCTGTGATTTTAGTATGTCTGTCGTGGTTTAACCCCAGCCAGCAACTAAGTACCACTCAGCCACTCACTCACTCCCCCCCCTTACCCCCAGTGGGATGGGGGAGAGAATTGGGGAAAAAAAAGTAAAACTCGTGGGTTGAGATAAGAACAGTTTAATAGAACAGAAAGGAAGAAAATAATGATGATAATAATAACAATAATAAAATGACAATAATATTAATAAAAGGATTGGAATATACAAAACAAGTGATGCACAATGCCACTGCTCACCACTCGCTGACCGATGCCCAGTTAGTTCCTGAGCAGCGATCCCCCTTCCCTGGCCAACTCCCCCCAGCTTATATACTGGGCATGATGTCACATGGTATGGAATACCCCTCTGGCCAGTTTGGGTCAGCTGCCCTGGCTGTGTCCCCTCCCAGCTTCTAGTGCCCCTCCAGCCTTCTTGCTGGCTGAGCATGAGAAGCTGAAAAATCCTTGACTTAGCATAAACACTGCCTAGTCTGGGATTCAGTTTAGTGAAAAATACGGTGCTTCCTAAAGGAAGCTGAAACTCTCAATGAAGCTGCAGCATTTTTACAGGATTACTTTTCAGTGGTTTATTCTCTCATCAAGGAAAAAAATCAAAATGGTATTTCCTGAATTGCTTATCCATTTCTGTTTGTGTTTGTTTTCCCCTCTTTAGAAATTGATTCTGAGGGTGAAGACCATGTTTAATTTTGAGCTCATTAACTTATATCCTTAGATACAGTCCTTTTCCCCTCCACTCCCCGTGATGGCTGATGTTAGTTAAATTATCATTACGGAAAACATACTTTCATGAGCAGTGAAGGGTGTGACCCTCTCTAGGAGCTGTTTCTGTGTCTGGTGTGTTTGTCCTAAGTTTGCTACGCGTGTGTCGTTTGTTCATCCCTGTTATCCGGGTTTTAGAATCTACTGCATTATCTGCTTATTACCATGTTAAAATTCCATTTGAGAAAATACATCCATGCCACATACAACCTGTATGTTTATTTTTATCAACCAGGTTTTCTTACAGCTACAGAGATAATGTATAGCATATTTCATGCACTTATGCTGCTTCCTTCAAAAACAGACATTTTTTCTGAGAACAAGGATTATCTTGGTTAAAATAACATTTCTGTGACATGCAGCATGGGGTAGATTGCTAGAGCTGAGCCGAGCATAAGTGACTTGTACTGAAATTGCCACTGTTGGAAAAATGGTTTATTTGCTCTTCATCACAGGGGAAAGCAAATTTTTGTGGGTTTACGTTTTTTTTGCACTGACTTTTTTGCCCTTTTGCTCCTAGGTGGTGCTGCAGAGCAATCTGGAAACATAGAAACTGGAGATGAAATTCTTGCTGTTAGTGGAAAATCATTACTTGGCCTCATGCATTACGATGCCTGGAACATTATTAAATCTGTGCCAGAGGGCCCTGTTCAGCTACTAATCAAAAAACACAGAACATCGGTATGATGGAAGCACTACATCAAATCACACTTGCTAAGACAAAACACTTAAAACTGGCTACAAGCTATCTTTGTTTCTAAAGCCACACAGAAGTGTCTTAATGCTCTACAGAGAGGTGCTAAGAGCCTTGGAGAACCACTGAGCAAGCATGTTATGAGCATCATAAAATCTCACCTAAATATCGAGGATGAAGGAAGCCAAATGTTAAGAGACAATTTTGTACTATGTGGCAGTTTTAATGGAACTTCAAGACCTCTCCTGGGTTTGATTTGAAGTATTTTGACTGAGAAAAATAACACTGTGCCTGTCCCTGATATTTTTAGTATCTGCAGAGCATTGGGAGTATAACTTATGGTTGTTATCCTGTTGACAAGGATGGGTATTTAGATAGTACTGTATCACTTAGCTGTAATAAGACTTCAGGACACTTACTTAGGGTCTGGTCCTTTTTTTGTTGTAATAAGAGAATGTCTGGAACAATCTCACTTTATTCTTCTAAGTGCAGTTTTGCTAAAAATGCATGACAAAAAGAGTATAATTTTGCACAACTTTTATGCCTAAAACATGAGCATTTTAATGCAAAGCTGAAAAATCTTCTTAAAACTGATGAACTAACTTGGCATCCATCACAACTGAGTCTGCTCTTAGATGCAACTTGTATCTGAAATCACTTGGCATTAATGCAGTAAAAATCTGTGAGCAAAAAAATCACATCCAAATAATAGGTGATTGTCCACCAAGGTGTAGACTGAGTTGTTAGTTGTGATTAAAATGGGAGCGATAAAAATTGGGGTCTAAATTTTCAAATTTAGGCTTCTAATGTTAGGCACCTTTAATATATATATATTTTTAAAAAGGGGATAATTTCAAGTGCTGAGCACTTGCAGATCCCACAGACTTCAGCAATCACAAAGTATGTCTGAAAGTCGGGCTGCTTTTATTTGGCTGCAAGAGGCTTAAGGCTGCCCGACTTGAAACACTCAAGCTGAAAGTGGTGGTCTAACGATGGGGATTATAACAGATTAAATCTGAACTGGCCATATTTCTGGCTTTTAATCGCTCTTTTTTGTTTTGTCTTGTCCAATATTTATTTTTGCTTGTGTGAGAGTGGGTGAGGATGTGTGTGGAAGATATAAGTGCACCTGGCTGCATCAGGAACAGGCTGATGCTGAGGGTTCTGGATGGTGAAACTGAAAATTGTTTGTGTAGGCAGGAGAAACCATGGTATTAGATACAGCAGAACTGACAGGGTTGCAATGCCACGGGTGCTTAGTTTGGATTTTCTCACCTCTACTCACAGTAGAGGTACCAGCAGCAGGCCATGCTGCTGAGTGTTTTTCATAGTCTGCTGTGTTGGGAGGAGAGCGTACGGGTGCAAGAGATTAGACTCTGTTATTTCTCTTCCTACATCTGGGATAGCTAAACAACATAAAAGAGATACAGGAGGAAATGGGCCAGTGTCCTTATCAGCTGAGAACAAGTTGTTTGTTCCAGAGTGCTCAGGTTGTTTGTCACATTAGGCTGGAGACTACTCGCAGCCAACATGCCCAGGGTGAAGAGCTCTCAGCCTGGAACCGGTCCAAATCTGAAGTGCTGCCTACATCTATAGTGAGCCAAGACACTGCATAGCTGTTACAAAAAGGTCTGGGCTTGTCACTTGGCCCTACCCCAAGATCATACTATAGTTGAGTTTATTTACATTTATTCAACAGTGCTTGGAGCAGTTGCTTCCAGCTTAGTGGAGCGCTTGCTTTGGTTCATTTCTGACAGCTTCATTGGACTCCAACTCATGATATACAGAGGAAAATTCAGTTCTGCAAGGCAACCTGAGACCAGGTAAGCAGAAAAGCTGTGCAATGTTTTGTCTAAAAATGAATAGATTTAATTCTTTTTCCGTGACATTAGCATGTGAATCCAGGGAGAAATGCAGCTTTTGGTTACAGGAAAGGCAATACTTTACATAGTCCTACAGCTGCTTTGCCTGCAGGATTTCTGTCAAAACTAATTCAGGTTCAGTGCTGTGAAATGACTATGGAGTTGGGTTCCCTGTGACCCCGAAGCTCAGCTGCTCTGTTGGGACTGGGGGTTGCCTCCAGTCACCTCCATGGTGGGAGAGGCTTCAGGAGGATGCAGCACTTGGGGTCAGAGGACCACACTGAGGTTGCAGGCCTGTGCTGGGATAAAAGAGGTTACCCCTGCATATTTGGTGAAAAACAGGGAGAAGACATTTGGCAGTGGCAATTAAATGGTGAGGCCTTGTTCAGGAATGACCAAAATCTGACTGTAATAGCGTGTATAATAGATACATAAAATGCATGTGGAATTTAATGCAGCGTAGTGAATACATACCTGTATACGTATAATACGTACAAGTGCAGTACTGACTTTTTGCTACTTTAATGTGGTAAATCACAGTTGTGTTTTAGGAAATGGCATTTTTTTTCAGTCCACAGTTTAAAATTTTGGAGGTTCCAATGCAGGGAGGCGTATGTCTCCCTCACTCCTAAACTGATGTGAGCTCAAAGGTAAAGTCTTCATTTTGTAAATTAAACTTAATTTGAGGTGTCTTAAGATGATAACGTGGTGAATATTTTCAGATGCTTATTTGCAGGTACTGTTCATTGTGAGTGATTTAGAAGGCTTTAATTTTTCAGTAATCGAATACTATACTGTTCAGTATTTTATTTTACATGCACGTAGATATGTGTTGGCTGAGTAACAGCAGAGGTGGGGATTTTTGTGTGTGATTCAGTAGTGGCTATAATTTAAAAGCTAGGTTTAATGTTTTAAGTCTGATAGTTACTGTGGGTAGAATGATACACTTCTCTACTAACATTACAGCAAGAAAAAGAATAGTATTTAACCCTGATTGTTTTTGTTCCTGAGAATACTTTTTTTTAATGTGAAAGAACAAGAAACATCTTTACTGATGCTACCAGTGTTGATATGATTACAGTAGTGTTTCCTGACATCTCTGTTGGGGTGACATTCCCCATAAAAGCCCCAGGATTTATGCAACATGGGTCTGCTTTATTACAAACAGGATGGGTAGACCAAACAGATGTAGTGAACCTTTGGTTGCGCACCTGGAAAAGTAAATGTTATTTTTCTGAGAGCCTCGTCCCGACAAAATGACAGAAGATGTTGCATTGGTTCATCAGTATTCAGTAGGTTCATGAGCATTTTTGGCCTTGCTGTTTGCCTGTCGGTCCCCACGGTAATTCTTTGCCATACCAGAAGGCTGGCCAAGCTCTAGGAGAGTGGTGACTCCCCAGAGACTTGCAGCTGCCTCTTGGAAGACCAAAAAATCAGGATGAAATTATGCACTTGGTCCACGACTGTTCACCAGGGACCTGAAGGCATTCCAGGTAAGGTGAATTTGCTCCTAGATGGAGAAGGTCTGGTGGAGGGCTTTGCCACTTCCAGGCCTGGGGCAGCTCAGTGTACACATCCTGGATATGAGAGTGGGCTCTGGTGCGATACTGCCATTGCATATTCTGCAACCTTTTGTACCTGGAAGTTCTTTCCAGCTTCTGTGGGGACTGCATCTGTATTTAAGAACTGTGAGATTAGGCCTAAATGAGGGAGGGAGCAACATCTGATTGTTTTCTTGTTAAAAAAAATAGTATGAGGGCAGATAAGTGTTAAACTGTTGAGTGATTCATGTTCTCTAATGACCCTCTCTTAAAATTAACCCTAGTTAATGTTCTGCAGTGGTTCTTATCAAAATCTGAAGGAACTGCTCCCAGATGGGAATGTTTACCTGCTTCTACGTTTCGCGTATGTAAATGTACAAGTGGAAATATTGATGAATAGTAGACTAGATCATGTGAGAAATGGGGATCCCACTTTAAGTAGATTTTATGTGTTAGGCTGATACACTTATTGTATGATACTGTATATTTACACTTTTATTTATATAAATAAAACTTCTTTTAATGAAAACTGTTTAATATGCCTTGTATATTTTAAAAAAGTGAGTGCAATAACATGAAATAGATTGTACATTTTTCAATTTGCTGTCTCTGTTATGTAAATCTGTATTGCCATAAACTGTTTTATTTGGGTTTTTTAGTGATTTTGAAAATAAATGGTATCCTTAGTACTCCTCTAGATACTTATTTCTGTTATGCCGATGTCTGTCTGGTCCACAGTTGGCACTGGCATCGTAGGGAGAGCACAGACAAAGACTAAGTAAGTGTTAATGCTGTCCAGTTGTGCATCTAAGCTAGAAGTAAAATACCAGCCTCTAAGAACTGTCATTCAGCATGAAGAGGATTAAAGCATTTAAGAAGTGTTAGAAGGTGTTGTATAGGACTGCTTTGATATCTTGGAAGCTGTGCATTTCCCCCCCACCCCTGTGCAAGGAAAATGCGGAAGGCAAAGGTGAAATGCGGGGTTTTCATCAAGAGGAGCAGTCTCTGGAGTGCATCACCTATAAGCTGTACCTCCTGCCCAGCCCCTGGGCTGTAATGGAACAGGTTGTATGTGTAGGGAATATGTATATACAACTAGGTCTAGACTGGTATTTCTTCTTGTCTTCCACCTACCCTGGAGATAAACTCTTCAAAACCCCGCTGAGCTGGTGGAATGGGCTGGGGTGGTGGCAACCTCTCTGTGGATGGAGTGGAGCTGCAGTGGAGCTCGTAGTGGGAGGTGGAGGCCATAAGCTCCCAACAGTGCAAGTTTGCATCAAGTGGTCCACCTTTTTATGGACACAGCTGGCTTCACCGTCACTGCACGACAGCTTGAAGCAAGCCTGCCTTCCAGAAAGATGAGGCAGCCCAGAAAGCTCTCCTCTCAGCTGCTCTGACATGGGGCATGCCAGAGGCGCCCCAAATCCCGCGCTGCCTGGCAGCACATGGACACGTCAGCTAGTCGCTGCGGGGTAGGCTGAGCTGGAGGAAGGAGCTTGTGGGTTAAGCATTTATATCCACATTGCAAGCCTGCGTGCATTGCTCCGTGCTTCAGTGCTGGGTTGGGCACTCGCAGCAGCAGCAGCACGTCTGGAAACTCCCACCCGGCTCACGGTACGGTGCAGTCCTGCCCTCTCCTCGTGCATGCATGGTGCTCGCCCACGTCTCTCTGCTGTGCCTTGCAAACCTCGCCGTTTCCTCTGGTGCACGGTGCTGCCCGAAAGGGCCGGGTGGGTTTTTCTGCGAGGGGAAGAAGGCGTTTGCTTTCCCGTGCCAGTGGCACGGAGGGCATTTCCCTTGTCCCTGGGCTTGTGCCCCAAAAGCCAATGTGTGTGCTTTCAGTTTCCTTCTCCGGGTGCCGCGCCATGAGGGTGCAAGTGAGCAAGACTCACGTGAGGAGGGATAAACACCAGCGCTCCTGCTGAGTCACCCTGCGGGAAAGGCCGCACCCGGATACCCGGGCCCTTTCCTGGGCTGGAGGAGAAAAGGAGGAACTTTGCGGTCTCCCAGTCCCCTGCCTGCGTTGGGACCCCTTCTCCCCAAATCCCTCTCCCTTGTGCACAGCTGTGATGAGGGACGCTGTGGAGCCTGTGTTGTTGCATGGATGAGATTGTGCCAGGCGTAAAACCAGTAGCGTGGGAAGGGGATGGACGGGGAGGTGTGGGGTAGCACAGCAGCCCCCTTCGAGCTTGCTCCAGCACGTCTGTCCCTGGCCAGAGCCTGGCTTCTCTCTCAGGGCTGTATGGGGAAAAGCAAAAAGACATTTTTAGCCATGAAGATCTCTTGTTTTTCTCTCTCCCCTGCTGTCGTCAGTGCTGGGGCAGCCCAGCCCTTTCAGTGACTCCCCTGTATCTGTTCTCCTGTCTGTCCTTCTCCCACTTTCTTCTAACATATGGCATGAGCTGGAGCTCAACAGGTCTCAAGCCTCAGAGCAGCCTGGCTTTTGTAAGATCCGTCTTGAACATCTTTAATTAAAATCTTAATTGCCTCAGACAGTGGCTAAATAAAGAGGAACGCACGAGAGAAGACACAGTGGACTTAATCTATAAATGGCTTATCCACTAAGACATACGAAGTGGCAGGAAATTACATCTAAGTTTTACCTAAGTCAGTTGTCTTTTGGGGATTGGGCTTTTTCTGAAGGCCTTGAGGCATTGGCAAATGGGGAACTTGGCACAAAAGGCAGAAGTTTGCAGTTTTGGGGACAGGTTTTTTTTATTCCCATATCGTTAACATACAGATCTTAGATCTAAATGAGGCGAGTAGAGACACCTACTTTGGTGTTTGCAATCAGGTTTATCATTCTACCTGAAAAGTTCTAATGTCCAAATAAGGTCCATGTGTCTCTGGTGTAGCTGTTTATGGCTCCAAAACCTCATCTGTATTTGCTGGAATGTGTCAAAACTGGCACTTTATCACATTAGACCAAAGGCTAATGGTCGCTGTCTCTGTCCCTGCACAGGGGTGCTGTGAAGGAGACTCCCTGGGGGGGACATTCCCCATGGCCCTCCCCGGAGCCAGTGGCCAGGCGGGAGCAGAGCATGCGGTGACCAGGAGCGATGCCCACGCACCCAGGGAAGTGATGCCATGGGGCAGCATGTGGGTGTGATGACAAGGGGAAGCAAAACATCCCCCAGACCATGGCCCTGAGCTGCGCTTCCCAGTGCCCAGGGCCACGCAGGCTCAGCCCCAGAGCTACCCATGGCTGCGGGGGGCATGTCCACCCTGCTGCTTCCACACTGCCAGCCCTTTGCCCTCCCCTTGCCCTGGGCTAGGAGATTCAAAGCTCTGGTCCAGCAGTTTGGTGCTTTTTTTTTTTTTTTTTCCTTTCCTATGCAATATTGGGTCATAGAAGCACACTTGAAGCACCTCCACCCTATGTCCAGAACCGCCGTATCAGTAAGTACCCGGAAACCAAAT